TGGAGTAGCATCGGTCTGCTTTTCGATGGACTTAATTGGGATAGTTTTGGGGTTTGGGCTGAAGGGAACTGCTGGGAATATTAATAAACCCACCAAACGACCGTTGCGTGTGTATGTGTGTGTGAGTGAATGTGACAGCACAGATGTGTTGCGGCCTATCAGTGGTCAGCAGAGCTGGTGGCAGATTCGGACAGTGAGGAGGTTGGGGAGGAACCTGTGTCAGTCCTGGGGAAGGCTCGGATGAGGGCTCTGTGTGGGAGGCAGAGAGGGGGCCAGAGACATATGCCAGTTATCAGCTGTCTTCAGAGTCAGACATCAGTGAGGCAGAAGAACAGCTGGAGCCTGTTCCCGGTGTGCGCATGCGCAGAGCTGCCAGGAGAAGGGAACAGTTAAAGAACAAGGTCCGACTCTGGAGTAAAGGCACAGGTGGACGGTGAATGGCCCCTCCCATAGAGAATAAAGAGGAGCGAAGGGGAGTGGAGTTTGCAGGAGACCATGAGTTCGTTTCATTACCGTGAAGATTTGTTCGTGACTCTCAGAGAGTCCTTGCCAAGGAATTGCTGCTACAGCCTGGTGTTTGGAAGATATCGGCTTGGCAGCTCTCCAAGCCTGATAAGGTCTGCGGTTGTAAATCCTCCCTTGAAAGACTGTTTGGCGGGAATTCACATGAGCTTCATAAAAAGGGGTTTTGTCGGGACAAGGAGCCTGCTTGGTGACGCCTCGGTCAGAACAAGATGGTCTCCCAAGTAGGTCCTTCAACATCTCTCTCCCCCCTTGTCTCTCGCACAGGCCGCAAGGAAGTTTTAGGGAGACCGTCTTCCCCACGTCACCCGCAAGTCCGAAGCACAGGTTGGTCTTTGCCCTGGGCTCCATCGCTAGCAAATGCCTCGGGGCCGTCGAGCAGACGGTGCTGATGCTGGCCGTCTTGATCTACAGCATTTTCCTGGCTGAGATCCTCTTCCACGTCGTCATCTCCTTCTCCATCCCTCTGACCATCCTGCGCGACCACATGGTGCCCGCCTCGCTGGTCTTCATCGACTCCTTAGGGCCGGCGAGCGAGATCTTTTACAACGACGTCCTGGGGGCCCTCCTGCTTTTCTTCAGCGCCCTCCTCCTCCCTCTGACGGCCGGCTGCTGCCTGCATCTCTTCCTCTTCCCCAGTTATTTCAAGTTAGTGAAGCTGACCTGGTGATGCAACAGTAGACCCCGGTTGGCGTTTTTGTTATTTTTTTGCGGGGGCTCGGTTCCCCGTTGGCAGCACTGTCATTCTTCTCCCCGAAGCCTCAGGTTTCCCTAGTTAGGCCTTTTCTCTCTCCTGAATCCGCGGCTGGAATCGTCTTCAGAAGAGCATCTTCTTGGTCGAAGACACGCATTGGATGCCATGTTTATAACTTTTAGCGAGCCCTGGTTTTTTTTCCCCCTCCCCGACATGCTTTGTGTTGTGTCGATCCACGGAAGCAAAACTCGAGGGCCAAAATAATCGGCGCAAAAGACGAACACCCTCCCCCTACTTTGGATGCCGCCTGGGAGAACACTTGCCATTTTCTTTCCCCTGTTCAGTAGTCCCCTAGGGTGGTCCTGGAGAACGTTTGGGGCTCCTTTTCAAATAAATTAAGCACTCAAACAGAGGTGTGGCATCTTTTTGTTCCTAAGGGATCGCTCTTTGGCCTCAAACGGCGTCTCTCCTCAAATGGTAACAAAAGGGATGAGGCTTCTTGGTAGACGGAACAATGTTTTTTTTTCCAAAGTCACAAAGGGAAGCACGGCTGGTCAGAAAGACGAATGGATCTGTAGAATTGCAGGTTGTGGGGTCCTGGATGCTCCCTGAGCTTGGTGGTTTTTCTTGTCGACGTTTCCTGACCCACACGGGGAACGCCATCAGAAGGGAGTGAGACAGGAGTGAAACTCAGCAGGTTCTGACAGGTTCTGAAAATAAAGAGTTGTTCAGAGAACCGGCAAATGCCATCTCTGGCTGGCCCAAGGGTGGGGTGGGAAGGAGGATTTCGCAGTATCCTTCCCGTGCCACACCCACCAAGCCACGCCCTCAGAACCGGTAGTAAAAAAAAAAATTGAATTTCACCACTGGAGTGAAGTTTGCGGAGAGGGGGAGGAAGAGGAGGAGGAGGAGGAGGAAGAGAAGGAGGAGGAGGAGAAGGAGGAGGAGGAAGAACGCTGAGTCCTTGGTGCTCTCTGAACTTGGTGGTTTTCTTGAAGACGTTTCATGACCCAACTAGGTAACATCATCAGGGCTAGAAGGGAGTGGGGCTTAGGAGGGGGAGGAGGATTGAGGAATCCTTGGTGCTCTCTGATCTTGCTTGTATTTTTGCAGACATTTCATGACCCAATTAGGTAACATCATCAGTGCTAGAAAGGAAGTGAGGCTTGGTGCAGTTATCCAGTACTGTATCTGGCACTGAGGATGTTACCTAGCTGGGCCATGAAAAGCCTGCAAGAAAACCACCAAACTCAGAGAGGACCAAGGACCCCACCGTCCTCCTCCTCCTCTCTTCCACTAGGTGTAAACCCCCTCCCTTCCGGCACTGATCATATTACTTACTTGGGTTGCTGAAACGTCTGGAAGAAAACCGCCACGCTCAGAGAGCACCCAGGCCCCCCCTTGTTTGAACCCTGAGCTACATATATTCTCCTCTCTCGGAGTCAGGAGTCTCCACCCACTCCTGTTTGTGACATCACTGGAAGGAAGGCAAGGCTAGTGCTCTCCCCGTGGTACATGGCTTTGGCCATGAGAAGACATGGCGAAAGAAGTGACCGCTGTCCTCTGGAGGAGAGACGGTGGGCAGAAGTAACCCTGGGCACATGGCCCAATGGAACGACAAGAGATAGTCAGATGGTGGGAGAGACAAGAGAAAGGTGGGTTCAGCACTCCAGCAAAGGCTGTGACTTTACTTCCCTCTTCGTCACACACATTTACAGAGGCCTCATCTAACACAGGGTGGCTCAGTGGCTAAGACGCTGAGCTTGTCGATCGGAAAGGTCGGCAGTTCGGCGGTTCGAATCCCGAGCGCCGCGTAACGGAGTGAGCTCCCGTGACTTGTCCCAGCTTCTGCCAACCTAGCAATTCAGATGCATGTAAAAATGCAATAGGGACCACCTTTGGTGGGAAGGTAACCCCATTCCGTGCGCCCTCGGCGTTGAGTCATGCCAGCCACATGACCACGGAGACGTCTTCGGACGGCGCTGGCTCTTCAGCTTTGAAACGGAGATGAGCACCGCCCCCTAGAGTCGGGAACGACTGGCATGTATGCGCGAACCTTTACCTGTACTTCCTCTGCCAAGCCCACCAAGCCACACCCACAGAACCAGTAGTAAAAGCCGTTCGAAAGCATGTAAAAAAATGCAAGTAGAAAAATAGGCACCACCTTTGGTGGGAAGGGAACAGCGTTGTTGTGCATCTTCGGGCGTTGAATCATGCCAGCCACATGACCACGGAGACGTCTTCGGACAGCGCTGGCTCTTGAAACGGAGATGGGACACACCGCCCCCTAGAGACGGGAATGACTAGCACATATGTGCAAGGGGAACCTTTACCTAATCTAAAATATCACACTGGCCCTATAGCCATGCTAGATACGGGACTACAAAAATTGTCTTGGGACAACGATGGCTCCCGCGACCAAGAAACGGAGGTGAGCACCAGGCCCAGGGGTGAGACATGATTGACGGGGAAAACCTTTGAATTGACTAGTAAATTTGGGGCATGGTAGAAAACATTTTAGGGGACATGATGGTTAAAGACACTGAGCTTATCAACTGGAAAGCTGACAACTCCGGTTTTGAGATCCGAGCGCCACGGGACGACGGGGCGAGTTCCCGTGACTTGCTTCAGCTCCTGCCAACCTAGCCGTTCGAAAGCAGGCAAATGCAAGTAGATAAATACTGTATTTTTCAGACTATAAGATGCACCGGAGTATAAGATGCAGCAAGATTTTGAAGAGGTAAATTTAAAAAAAAGAAGTTTTTGCACTCTGCAAGCCTCTCAAACCTTCTGCACGCCCCGATTTTTGAGAAAAAACAGGGCATGCAGAGAGTTTGAAACGCCTACAAATGCTTCCTGGGGGCTGGGGTGGGGCCAAAAATGAGCAAAAAACGGCCCATTTTTTTGCGAAAACGGGCCAATTTTTTGCAAAAAANTCTTTCCATCTCTTATCCCTCCCCCTTCCTCCCTTCGTTCCCTTCCTCCTGCCCCTTCCTTCTTTCCATCTCTTATTCCTGCCCATTCCTTCCTTCCTTCCCTTCCTCCTGCCCCTTCCTTCTTTCCTTCCTTCCATCTCTTATTCCTGCCCATTCCTTCCTTCCTTCCTCTTCCTCCTGCCCCTTCCTTCTTTCCTTCCACCCATCTCTTATTCCTGCCCCTTCCTACCTTCGTTCCCTTCCTCCTGCCCCTTCCTTCTTTCCATCTCTTATTCCTGCCCATTCCTTCCTTCCTTCCCTTCCTCCTGCCCCTTCCTTCTTTCCTTCCTTCCATCTCTTATTCCTGCCCATTCATTCCTTCCTTCCTCTTGCCCCCTCCTTCCTCTTCCTCCTGCCCCTACCTTCTTTCCGTCCATCCCTCTCTTCCTCCTGCCCCTTCCTATCCACCCATGGCTGGTGGAGCCATCGTCCCCCGCTTTGCTGGCTGAGGAATCCCACAGTCCACAAGTCTCAAAAGTTGCCCAGGTTGGAGACCCCCGTTTTAAGAGCTGGCCACAAAGTGCCCGGGGGTGTGGGGGCAGTGGGGGGAGTGTGTGCGTGAAAGAGAGGCCCGTCCAGTGGTCAGCCCCCCCCCACCTCATCTTTCCGAGATGGGAAAGGAAGGCGTGATGTCCATCTCTCCCCTCACCTTCCACCCTTGGCCCCACAGCTTCAGGCCTCGTCTAACCAGGAAGTGGGGTGGGGGGCAGAGACAAGCCACGGGGGGTTAGCAACACATGTGGGGCAGGGCAGAAGGGGGTTTGGGGGTGGGGTTATCATGCGAAAGGAGCTGGCCAGAGGACGGACACTCACGATTCGGCCAGTTCAGCTCTTTCCTCAGTCCGCTCCAAGTCTCCTTCGATGATCACCAGCTTACGAGCCACCTGGGAGGAAGAGGGGGTGGCAGAAGAGAGGGTTAGAAGGGGAAATAAGGGGGGGGGGGACTTGGTTTTTGGGGTGGGGGGGGTTAAGGCGCCAAGGCGAGAAACCGGAAGACGGGGAGTTCCAGTCCCGCTTTAGGCAGGAAAGTCGGCTATACGTCTTTGGGCCCATCACCAGGAGGCAGGGAGTTCTAGTCCCGCCTTCAGTAGGGAAGTAAGTTGAGGTGACTTTGGCCCTATCAATAGGAGACTGGGAATTCTAGTCCCGCCTTCAGTAGGAAAGTCAACTGGGTGACTTTGGGCCCATCACCAGGAGGCAGGGAGTTCTAGTCCCGCCTTCAGTAGGAAAGTCACCTGGGTGACTTTGAGCCAATCACTAGGTGACAGTGAGTTCTAGTCCCGCCTTCGATAGGGAAGTAAGTTGAAGTGACTTTGGGCCTATCACTAGGAGGCAGGGAGTTCTAGTCCCGCCTTTAGTTGGGAAGTAAATTGAGGTGACTTGACCCTATCAATAGGAGGCAGGGAGTTCTAGTCCCGCATTCAGTAGTGAAGTCACCTTTGCGCCAATTACTAGGTGACAGTGAGTTCTAGTCCCACCTTGGGCATGAAAGCTGGCTGGGTGACTTTGGGCCAACCACTAGGTGACAGTGAGTTCTAGTTCCGCCTTCAGTAGGAAAGTAAACTGGGTGACTTTGGGCCCTATCAATAGGAGACTGGGAGTTCTAGTCCCGCCTTCAGTAGTGAAGTCACCTGGGTGACTTTGGGCCAATCACTAGGTGACAGTGAGTTCTAGTCCCGTTTTAGACATGAAAGCCCGCTGGGTGACTTTGGGGCAGCCCCTCTCACCCGACACCAGAGAAGGACTCCCGAGCCGCAGCCCGTCCCTTCAAATGAAAGGCCCTAGTCCTCATGACGCCGGAGGAGAGGATCTGCTTATACGGGGAGAAGCCGCGGCTTGAGAGTCTGCCTTGGCCTTCCTCCCCACAACCCCCTTCAAAATCTCAAGAGGATCGGGGCAGGGGAGGGGGTGTTCCTACTGGGAGAGTGGGGGTGGGCTGGGGGAGCCACCGACCTCCTCGTACTTCCGGTCGGCTTCCTCGGCAATGTGCTTGGCCTCCTTCAGCTGGATCTCCTGCAGCTCCATCTTCTCCTCGTCCTTCAGGGCTCGGTTTTCAATGACTTTCATGCCCCTGTCGGGAAGGAACGGATGGATGGATGGATGGATGGAGGGAAGAAGGAATAGACAGGGGGAGAAAGGAGGGATGGAAGGAAAGGAGGAGGGAGGGAAGGGAAGAAGGGATAGGCAGGGGAAAAGAAAAGGATGGAAGGAAAGGGGAGGGGAGAAAGGAAGGAATAAGGAGGGAGGGGAGGAAGGAAGGAAGGGACAGGTGAAAGGAGGAAGGGAAGGAAAGAAGGGAGAGATGGAAAGAGAAGGAAGAAGGGAAGGAGGAATAGAGGAAAAGAGAAGGGAAGGATGGAAGGAAAGGGGAGGGAAGATAGGAAGGAATAAGGAGAGAGGGAAGGAAGGAAGGGACAGGTGAAAGGAGAAAGGGAAGGAAAGAAGGGAGAGATGGAAAGAGAAGGAAGCAGGGAAGGAGGAATAGAGGAAAAGAGAAGGGAAGGATGGAAGGAAAAGGGTGGGAGGGACAGGGGAAGGAATAAAGGAGGAAGGAGGGAAGGAAGGAGTAGACGGGAAGAGAAGGAAGGAAGGAGGGAAGGGAAGAAGGAATAGATAGGGGAAGGGCGAAAGGAAGGAAGGATGGAAGAAGGAAGGGACAGGGGAAGGAATAAAAGAGGAAGGAAGGAATAGGCAGGGGAAGGGAAGAAGGAAGAGTGGGGACAGTCAGGTGATAACTTGCTTTACGACCCTCCTGACTTATGACCCAGCCCTACGAGGGTCGTAAGTCAAGGACCAAGCCCCTCAGGAGTCGTTCCCCCACCCCCGGCGGGCTAAGCCAGGCCCAGTTGGCCCCACCCACCTCTCGCTCTCATCGGCGGCCTTCTCGGCTTCCTCCAACTTCTGCAGGGCCGTGGCCAGGCGCTCCTGAGCCCGGTCCAGCTCCTCCTCCACCAGCTGGATACGGCGGTTCAAGGAGGCCACCTCCGCTTCGGCCTGGGGGGAAGGGGGGGAGAAGGGGAAGAGAGACGGATCATACATCAACCCCCAAGCAGAGCCAATCCCCCCTGCCAAGGGCCTCCTTTTCCACGGCCCTAGGGCCACTTCTGGCCCCGGGGCCGGCCCTCTGGCCCTGGGGCCAGCCCTCTCCATCAGGACTGCTTTTCCAGGGAGTCCTCGATTTACGTCCACCACTGAGCCCAACATTTCTGTTGCTAAGCGAGACAGCTGTTAAATGAGTTTTGCCCCCACTTCCCTCACCTCCTCCCTCCCTTCCTTCCATCCATCCATCTCCGATTTCTCCTCCGTCCCTTCCACTCCCCCTTCCTTCCTTCCATTCATCTCCTCCTCCCCCCTTTCTTTCTCTTATCCTTCCTTCCTTCCCCCTTCTTTTCTATCTCCCATTTTCTCTTCTCCTCCCCTTCCCTCCCTCCCTCCATTCATCTCCTCCTCCTCCCTCCTTCTTTCTCTCTTATCCTTCCTTCCTTCTCTTCTTCCTCCATTTTCCCTTCCTTCTCCTCCCCCTTCCTTCCATCTCCTCCTCCCTCCCTTCTTTCTCTCTTATCCTTCCTTCCTCTTCCTTTTCTTCTTCCTCCCATCTTCCCTTCTTTCTCCTCCCTCTTCCTTCCTTCCTTCCATCTCCTCCTCCCTCCCTTCTTTCTCTCTTATTCTTCCTTCCTTCCCCTTCCTTCTTTAGTTCCTCCCAATTTCTCTTCCTTCCTTCCCCTCCTCCCTCCCTTCTTTCTCTCTTATCCTTCCTTCCTTCCTTCTCCCTCCTCCTCCTCCTCCCCCAGAGCTGCAGGCATCGTCCGGGGCCACCATCTGCCGCCAAGCTTAATCCCAGGCAATCTTTGCATGGTTTTAGCACCTGTCCCGTCCCTGGCCGGAGTGTCCCGGTCTTAGCCTCTGATCTGAGTCACCCTTGACCCCGGGGCAGATTCGAAGGAAGCTCCGCCCTGGCCAGCTGGTGGACAGGAGAAGAGAGGCCGAGGGTCTCCCTCACAAGGCTGGCGCTGCTTCACCACCATAACCGCAGGCCAAGGGCTCAGCTGCCCCTTGAGAGCTAAACGCAGAGATTCCGTAGCTTTTAAAAGACAATTTTAAGAGGGGTGGATTTCCCAGAATCCCCCAGCCAGGTCTGGGAGTTGAAGCCCACCCCTCTTAAAGCATCCAAACTGGGGGATTCTGGGAGTTGAAGTCCACCCCTCTTAAAACATGCAAACTGGGGGATTCTGGGAGTTGGAGCCCACCCCTCTTAAAGCATGGAAACTGGGGGATTCTGGGAGTGGATGCCCACTCCTCTTAAAGCATCCAAACTGGGGGATTCTGGGAGTTGAAGCCCACCCCTCTTAAAGCATGGAAACTGGGGAATTCTGGGAGTGGAAGCCCACTCCTCTTAAAGCATCCAAACTGGGGGATTCTGGGAGTTGAAGCCCACCCCTCTTAAAGCATGGAAACTGGGGAATTCTGGGAGTGGAAGCCCACTCCTCTTAAAGCATCCAAACTGGGGGATTCTGGGAGTTGAAGCCCACCCCTCTTAAAGCATGGAAACTGGGGAATTCTGGGAGTGGAA